ATATATATATATATATATATATATATATATATATATATATATATATATATATATATATGCGATTGATATATATATATATATATATATATATATATATATATATATATATATATATATATATATATATATATATATAGTCCTTTAATTTCTTTTTGAAAGTAATCAGGTTGGAGATGTTTCTAATGTGTTGCGGTAGGTTGTTCCAGACCTCGGGTCCTCGGATTGGCATTTGCCTTGACCCTGTTTCAGTGTATGATCCTTTGACATGCAGAGTGTTAATCTGCCTGATTTGGAAGCCTGTTTTGTTACCAATTGTTTGTAGAGGCATTAACCAATGGGGATAATCGCTCTTTATGAATTTGTGAATGAATATCCATGTATCAAATTGACATTTTTGAGGAACTTTTAACCACTTTATTTTTTTAAAGTGGGGGGGGTTATGTGGCCATGTTTATTTATGTTGCCTATTGCCACTCTTGCAGCAAAGTTTTGTAGTTCTTGTGCTTTTTGTATTTGAGTTTTGTTGGCTGAGCCCCATATGTTGGAGCAATAGTTTATAAGGCTTAGTGCAAGTGTTTGTACAACAATAATTCTCGTCTCAGCGGGGATTTTGTTTTTTATGTGATTTAAGTATATCAGTGTGCCCATCACTTTCTTTGTGAATGTTGTCTGTGTTTCGAAAGTCATGTATCTGTCTATGTGTACTCCTAGACTTTTCACGGAAATGCTTGGTTTGATATGAAGGCCTTCAAATTCTATGACTATGTTGGGGATTTTGGCTATGTCTTGCCGACTGTTGTCTAAATATATCTTTGCTACTGTAAGATTCTGTTGCGTAATTCTTATCAATCCATATAAATTGCTTACGGGGGCAGCGTGAAAAACTGAGAGTCATCAGCATAATGGACAAGAGGACAGTTGTTTGCAATGTATGATAGATCGTTTATGAATATAGTGAACAAGATTGTGGGACACCGAAAGAGACTGACTGACTGCGTTCTTGTGGATAGGTAACTTCTGAAACAGTTGTCTATTCCATGATTTTTTATTTTATTGAGCAGGATTTTATGTGGCAACATTTTTTTTCTGGCACTTTAGATATAACTGTGAGTAGAGTGATAGGACGATAATTGATCAGTTGTTCTGTATCTCCTGATTTGAAAATGGGTGTTATGATGCCATGGGTAGGTACCGGTGACTATGGATGTGTTTATATTGACAGTTAAATAGTAAGGTATTGCGGGTAAGCTTTCTTTGATGAATCGAAAAGCAATGTTATCCACACCTGGTCTGAAAGCATTTGTTGAGAGCCTTGTCCTGGTTGTGTTTTGTGGGACCAAGGAAGCAGCTGTCTGTTCATAGGTGAGTCTACCGATATTTGCGAAGTAGTCGTTTAGATGTTCTATACTAAAGGAATCTAGGGACGTGTCTGTGTGGTGTTTGGTGCTAACGTTTTAACTGTTTTCCATGTTTCTTTGGCGCCGTGTTTACAGTCATTGAACTTATTTTGAAAATAAATTGTTTTTGCTGATTGGATGAATGTTTTAACATTTTTCTTTTATTGTATATACTCAGAATGAAGGGTGATATCAGTTTTATTTGTTTTGAGAAATTTGTGAGTGTTGTTTCGGTCATGTATAGCTCTGATGTCCTCATTTATCCATGGGGCGGGGGGACGTCTAATAGTTTTGGTCTTAAGTGGAGCAGTGGCATCTATGCTAGAGAATGCTCGAGAGAATGTCTACTTGTTTGTTTACGTCATCTGTTGTAAGAATCTCTGAGAGAGTCGATTGTCTGGCACTAATATTTTGACAAAGTGATTGGGGGTCGTAGTTTGTCAGGTCACGGGAAGTTTTTATGACTGCTTGTCGCTTGGGTCTCTTTATATCTACTGTCATAGTTAAAAGTTCGTGGTCTGCAATTTGGCAAGGGATAACGTCAGTATACGTAATGAGGTCAGGTCTGTTTGATATAATGATGTCTCATGGATGAGGTGTATTTTATGATCCTGGTAGGTTTATTAATAAGCTGATTTAATTTGTTTTTCTTAATGATCCCGGCTAATTTTGCATTAGGTTTGTTTAGGTCATAGTTTGTTACCTAAGATGAAAAAAAGGTTTTCTTTTCATTGGCATTTCTCTAAAAACTAGTCAAATGATTCAGCTGTAGCATGAATGTGTCTATATATTGCACCAATGATGAAGGAGGGATACATATTACTTTGTACCGTTACCCAAATGTCCTCTACAGCTGTATTATTTGTAACTGTGGAGGAAATTACATTTGATTTAAAAGTGTCCCTTATGTATATGCATACTCCTCCACCTCGCCCTGTATCTCATCTATAAACATTGAAATTTTGAATATTAATGAAATTACTTGGTATTTCTTCATGAAGCCATGTTTCACTAATGCAAAGGATGTCGATATTTCTCTCCGTGATCATCATTTCAATTTCTTCAAACTGACCGAGAAGAGACTGCGCATGGCATGATGTGACCTTTGGTTTCGTTGTTTGTGTGAGTGCGTCAAACAAGCTGATCGTTCTTGTACTTGTTTTTGTTCAAAAACACTTTAACATTTTTTTGGGAAAACATTTGAATTTGTGAAAAGATCTGGATGTATGTCTTTGCCTCTGGTAGTTACAGTGAAGCTAGATTAATATTGGTGTGTCATGTTTGTCTTGTATGCTTTTGCATTTGATATGTTTACAAATTCTTTGGTAAGGAAGTCTTCTATGTCTTCTTCCTTTGTGTCAGGGTGACAACTAGTGATGTATAAGTACACTACCTGGGGATGTTCTACACCTTGTAGTGGTTTGGATGTTTGGCGCTCCTCGCGTGTTTTTCTTCTCCCTTTTCTGGAGGTGACGGGGACGAAACCTTCCATGTCCTGCTCGTTTGTTTGTTGCGCTTCCGGTCGTTCTGTGATGTTGACAACGACCGTGGGCGTTGTGGTGGTGAGGGGGTAGTAGAGGGGGCAGGGACTCCAGGCACGTGGTGATGAGTCGCGTCGTCCCACTGGCGGTTGGGTGGAAGATTTTTTTCTTTGTTTTTCCTCTTGCTGTTCTTTATATAGCCTCTCCTCGGTGTTACTTGCGTCGATGCCTTGCTTCTCATCTCAGGAACCGAAGCCTCAGCATTGTTGGGGAAGCGCTTGCATGGTGCCGAGCGTGGTGCCGGGCGAGGGGGAGCTGGTTCGACGGCAAGGTCGTGGGTCGGCTGGCTAGGGAAGGGTGGAGAGGAAGGGGAGGGGGTATCGCGGGGGGAGGTAGGGGTTGGGGTGCTCGCAGGGGTGGTGGGCACAGGCGTAGAGGTTGTATGGGAGGGAAGGTTGTGTGAGTGTTCGTGATTTTGCAGGGTGGAGGTATAAGATGTTCTCGCAGGGGGAGGGGATGCGAAGGGGAAGGGTTGGTAAGAGGACTGGTCGTGGGCAGGGGAAGGGAGGGAGGACGGGGTTTGGAGGGAGGGGGGTGAATCTGCTGCGAGTGATACTTCATCTTCGCATTCCTGCTTCTGAGGAGGCATCACGTCTTGGCCAAGCAATTTGTTGATGGTGGACTGCTGGTCACAGAACATTCCAATCAGCAAGTCTTGTTTTCGATGATGTCTTGATTGATCATAGCTGGCTCGTTGTATGTCTGGGTGCCTTGGTGACTTGGCTTCTGGAAAAATTTCACGAAGGGTGTTTTGGTGGTGACCAATCTGTAGTTTAAATGTTTGTTGTTGTCGTTGCGAACACTAATTTGTTATTGTTCAAACACTGATCAATAATTGTTTGCACGATGACCATTATCATCCTTTTGATGTCACATGTCGTTTTCATTGGTTTTCTAGATTCCGATATGTCTAAAATGATGTGAGCCTGATTGATTTCTTCAGGACTGTACAACTTTATATGGTCGCACAAGACCGTCCTTGCCCATGCTCTCTTTGCTGCGATAAAGCAAAGGATGGTGTTCAGCACTATTGTTATGTTGCCTATTTGATACACTGCTTTTTTGTTGTAATCACTGTTATCAATGTCGTCACTTTTGTCACTGGATGCACTGTTTTCATTGCTGTGTTTGGAAGGGATGTCAGGGTTGTTAAATAGCCCTGTACCCTGGGTGGAGGGGCAGCCTTGACCCCGGCTGTCGAGGGGGTGCCCATTATTATGGGCGGGGGGGGGGGGGGGGGGGCAGCTTTGACCCCGGCTGTCGAGGGTGTGCCCATTATTATGGGCGGGGGAGCAGCTTCGACCCGCACTGCCGTGGGGCCCGTTGCCAGTTCATAGCATCCACTTATTTCGTTCACAATATTCTGTTATATTGTTTCATAGTGTTCTTCAGTGAACAAATGTTGAGGTCCCCACTTTTCCTCCAAGGCTTGGTCCACGAACTGTTTTTAACATATATATATAGTAGTCTTTTCGAGGATATCTTTCTCAGCGGGCATCATATCTTGCTCCCATGATTGGCTTCATCTAAACAAGGGGAACACTATTTGCCACAGGGGACACGCCCAGTAGTTTTATCTTCCCCTAACCATGGAGCTCTCCTACCTCTCTTTAATAGTTTCTAATACTGGCCTGCCTTGATTCATGATTTCATTATTTGTTGTCCAAAATTTTATGATCATAAGCGAAGAAACGTTTCACGTTCCTTATATCATTTAATATACTGTACTACTGCAAACCTTGTCATTACTGCCAAATGCAAAGTTAAGTTTAAAACGTAAGTTTACATACACTTAGTGCTTAGGATTCTTTCGAGGCTTTCATTATATGGTTGATAATAAAAGCAAAACCGAAAAGGGAAGTGTTTCGGGTCCTTTTAGCCTTAGTCATTTAGATACATTCGACAGTGCCTTTCGTCGTCTAATCTACTCTCATTTTCCTTGAAAGGTCTAGACCAGCTTATGGAAACCCCAATCCCCTTTTGTTTTTCTAAAGCGTGTGCATCGTACTCTATATGATTATTTTTTAATCTGCTTCATTTTGTCTCCTTTCCTTCCTTCCAGAGATCATATACCGAGGTTAACAGATATCCGGACTTTAACCCAAAAGCCATTACCCTGTACAATTCCATAGCAAGACAACAGTTACAGGGAACCGGCGTGGTCATCTGGGACAGCACGCTAAAGCTGTCGCTTGCCTATACTAAAGAGTGCGTTAGAGTCAGGAGGGTCACGCCAGACAACTATGAGTGGAACTGCGCTGACCACGGACACATAGGATACATCATGCTGGAACAGTATACTGACATGATATACAATGTTTTTTGTAACAGGTTTCTAAACTTGACTGAGAAATATTGTAACACTGGAAATGATTGAAGAAAGAAATGTCGATACCTTATGCATTAATGTGCTGTGTGGTGCAGTGGTAGCAATCTTGTCTAGCAATCTTGCTGACCTATATTCAAATCCCTCACCGCCAGTGGATGCTAACCCCGGCCATTCCCTGCACACAGGGGCTAATTTAGAAGCAAAATGAAACAAACAGCATGTTACACCAAGAATATCCATTTAAACAAATGGAATAAAACTAAATAATTAATTATTATTATTATTGTGTGAAACCTAGCTTCAAAAGATGCCAAGCAATTCCATTAATATTTTCACATTTATAGATAAGCTGCTGGTTTGACATTCGGGTTCAGCATGTACTTGACAGATACCCGACTAATAAGGTCTCTCCTACAGCTGTTGAAGGCATCTGACCTAGCAGTGTTATCCTTTCTCTAATGGCGTAAACACATTCCCTGCAGAACCATCCAACTGTCTAGTATATATTTTTGAAATTTCCAATAAAAAATGCTTTACCTTGCATAACTCAAACTTGGATTTTAATAACTCAAATGCAAAGTTCACTTGAACAATTAAGTAAAATAAAAAAATAAAAAAAAATATCTCGTCTAAATCAAATGTTACGATAGCAAACAGACCGTGCACCATTCTTCATTCAGACATTATCCTTTGCCAAACAGCTGATCACGAGTTCTTTACCATGACCTTATATATAGAAAAGTTAAAATCCATAAAAATCATATGTTTTGCCACACCGCAACTCTTTACCTGCCAACATATAACGGCCAGTGATGCGCCCGTGAATTATATGAACATTTTGACATAGAATTTCTTTCTAATAGTATACATAGACGAATATAAGATCTTTGAAAATCATGCTGATAATATATGTTAGGGGCAACCTTAACATGCCTACATCATCATCATAAGGGGGTATACGCATGGCTGCGCTTTGCCGCGCCCAACCTTTGCCTCCACCTCCTGGGGTCCCTCCGAGCGAGCCTCCATGCAGCATTCCTTCCCACTCCCAGTACATCTTGGCAGATCTGATCGACTTGCTTCAGCCATGAGTTCCGTGGCCTTCCCCTTGGTCTTCTCCAGCCTGGGTCAACCCTCTCGGAGATGACCCTATGAGCCGGATCTTTCTCAGGGAAACGAGCCACATGTCCATAGAGCTGAAGTTGGCGCTCTCGTATCAGACTGGTAATAGGTCTTGAATCAGTCTCATGGAGTATCCTCTGATTGGACACATGGTCCCTCCAGGTATACCCCATGATTCTGCGAAGACACTTAGTACCAAAGGAGTTAAGACGGGCTTTCAGAGCACTGTTCAGTGTCCAGGTCTCACACCCGTAGAGCAAGACCGGGATCACCAGTGCTCTGAAGAGCCTGATCTTAGTTCTCCTAGTCAAATACCGACAGCGCCAAATACTCCTACTGAGTGAGTCCATAACGCCGTAGGCCAGTCCGAGTCGTCGAGTGACTTCCCGGTCGGAACCTCCGTCGCTCTGCACTACACTACCAAGATAAGTGAAGCTATCCAAGACCTCAATGTTCTCGCTGCAGGCATGCACAGACTGAGCATCGACATCCAAAAAGTCCCCAAATTCCTGAACCTTGGTCTTGGTCCAGTTGATCGCGAGTCCCAATGGCTTTGCCTCCTCATGCAGCGCATCGAGAGCTACTTCCAGGACCTCTAATGTCTCCGCTAGAATCACTGCATCATCGGCAAAGTCAAGGTCTGTGACCTTGAAATTACCAATTGATGCCCCACAGGAACTACAGTTCACGGTACGGCCAAGTATCCAGTCCATACAAGTGTTGAAAAGGGTTGGGGCCAGGACACATCCCTGTCTCACCCCGGCAGACACCGGGAAGAAGGCAGAGATGCCCTCCCCACACTTGACAGCACTCTCAGTATCTGTATACAGTCGAAAGCCTTCATGAGATCAACATAAGCTGCAAGCATACCCTGTTGAAACTCAAGTCGGCGTTCCACAAGGACACGAAGTGCTAAGACACGGTCTATAGTTGACTTCTTGGGTGTAAAACCAGACTGCTCAGGTCTCTGTGCTCGTAATAGGTGGTCGCGCACTCGTGCCAGAAGCAGATGAGCGAGGACCTTGCCTGGTACGCTGAGCAATGTAATACCTCTGTAGTTGCCACAGTCCTTTTGGTCCCCTTTCCCTTTCCAGATAGGGATGACCAAGCCCCTTTTCCAGTCAGGGGGAATGGTAGACAGGACAGGACTGCATGCAAACCACAGATCATGGCTTCTCCACCCGCCTTCAACAACTCTGCAGCAATCCCACAGACACCAGCAGCCTTTCCACTTTTCAGCTTAGACACTGCCCTTCTCACCTCTTCGATGGAAGGTGGTGCCTCACTGATTGGTGGATCAGCCACTAGTGGCTGTGTGCCAGCCAACGGGAGTTGTGAAGATGGGGGATCTACCCTATACAGTTGCTCAAAGTACTCAGCCCAACGGGCCCTATACTCACCAGGCTCTGACACAATGCGACCATCCTCTGCTCTCACTGAGCCCGATTGAGAGATGGACTTTGATCGGAGTTCCCTCAGGGCTCGGAAAGCAGGTCGAAGGTCATTTTGGGCAAAATGACCTTCCAACTCTTCCACGATGCCCCTAACGTACCTCTCTTGGTCCACTCTCAAAGAGGCCCTAAACATGGTTCCCATCCAGTCTGGCAGCACGACTCATCTCTATAGTGTTCAGTGTCTCGTCTGAGACAACACACCTCCTTTGCCGAGGTCGGACACCAAAGCACTCCTCGGCAGCTTACAGAGTTCCTCGCTTAAAGGTATCCCACAGTTCAGCAGTTTCCTGTAGAGTACCAAGCACTTCAAACCGATTTGAGACTGCCATTGCATACTCCTGAGCCACCTCCTCACTCTTGAGCCTCTCGAGATGGAACACCTGCTGGTGAGATCTCGGGATGCGTCTAGATCTGAGGCGGAGCCTTAGTGTTGCGACAACAAGTCTGTGGTCGGTAGCAAAGAACTCAGCACTCCTAAAAACTCTACAGTTCTGAAGGATCCTCCAGCGAGTATCCACGAGAATATGGTCGATCTCTTTAGCTACAACGCCAGTATTGGAGTACCAAGTCCAGCGGTGTAGATCTCGTCTCTGGTACCATGAGCCCGCAATCCTCAAGTCTAAGAGGTATGAGCTATTGATGTTCCTAGTACCAGAGCCATAGGGACCGATGCATAGTTCGTATCCTTCCCTGTCAGTGCCAGTGACTGCATTGAAGTCCCCCAAGACCATGAGGGTGTCCCCCCGGGGACATTGATCCACTATAGAGTCAAGTTTGGCATAAAACATCTCTTTCTCTTCAAGCCCACTTCCCTCAGTAGGAGCGTAAACTGCAATTAGAGATATGAAGCCCAAAGTGTGCTTCATTCTCACAAGCAGAATACGCTCGTCAACAGGGGTAACCTTCTTGACTGAGACAGAGACAGTCACCGCGACTCCCCTAAGGCGCGCACCATTGCTACAGCCAGACCAGTAGTAACCCCCACTACTGGTCTCACCACAACCAGGCCGTCGCACCTCAGAGAGAGCAGCGATGGCAATCCCCAGCCTCCCCAGCTCCCCCGACAACAAAGGCAGTCGATCATCCTCCGAGAGACTGAGGATGTTCTAGGCCGCTACACGGCACGCTCGCCGCAGATTGACCCCATTTGTGAGGCTCCAGCCGGGCGACGCCTCGGCACAACCAGGCATACCTCCCAAGGAGGAAGAGTGGGGGCCGGGGGGGCCATCCCCCCCACCACGTAACCTCAGGGTGCAGGATTCCCTGGGAGGGCTTTGCCCTACACCCGTCATAACAGGCTCGTCGTCCTGATCAGGTAAGCCCCTGATCAGGACGCCGAGCCCGGGATCAGGAACCCCCGGCCGCAAATCGGGGTCGGAGTCACCTCCTCCGGGATGGCTCCGACCCCTTGTCTCCTTTTTTGGTTTACCTGCTGGTAAGGGTTTTTACGGAACCGGGTTGCCAGCCCGACCCCAACTGCTAGCTAGGGGCTAGGGACATGCCTACACTGCATCAAAAATAAAATTCTTAGTGGAACAAGATTTGCTGATGCACGTCTTGATCTAATGTCAACTGTTACTGTTCGAACGTCAGCTCTCACTGGACACAGGGTTCAGAAGGCCATAGTTCAGCCTCCTCCGCCCCTAGAACATGACGTGACATACCGAGTATTCACTGAATGGAGGCAAAAGTACACAGAGGCTAGGAGAGGGAAAGGAAGAGATGCAGAAGCTTCGAGAGGGAAAGGAAGAGGCACAGAGGCTAAGAGAGGGAAAGGAAGAGATACAGAAGCTTCGAGAGTGAAAGGAAGAGGCACAGACGCTAGGAGAGGGAATGGAAGAGACACAGAAGCTAGGAGAGGGAAAGGAAGAGACACAGAAGCTAGGAGAGGGAAAGGAAGAGGCACAGAAGCTAGGAGAGAGAAAGGAAGAGGCAAAGAGGCTAGGAGAGGGAAAGGAAGAGACGCAGAGGGTAGGAGATAGAAAGGAAGAGGCACCGAGGCTAGGAGAGGGAAAGGAAGAGACCCAGAAGCTAGGAGAGGGAAAGGAAGAGGCACAGAAGCTAGGAGAGGGAAAGGAAGAGACACAGAGGCTAGGAGAGGGAAAGGAAGAGGCACAGAAGCTAGGAGAGGGAAAGGAAGAGACACAGAGGCTAGGAGAGGGAAAGGAAGAGACACAGAGGCTAGGAGAGGGAAAGGAAGAGACACAGAGGCTAGGAGAGGGAAAGGAAGAGACACAGAGAGTAGGAGAGGGAAAGGAAGAGACACAGAGGCTAGGAGAGGGAAAGGAAGAGACACAGAGAGTAGGAGAGGGAAAGGAAGAGACACAGAAGCAAGAAGAGGGAAAGAAAGAGACACAGAGGCTAGGAGAGGGAAAGGAAGAGACACAGAAACTAGGGGAGGGAAAGGAAGAGACACAGGATTCAGAAGGCCATAGTTCAGCCTCCTCCGCCCCTAGAACATGACGTGACGTACCGAGTATTCACTGAATGGAGGCAAAAGTACACAGAGGCTAGGAGAGGGAAAGGAAGAGATGCAGAAGCTTCGAGAGGGAAAGGAAGAGGCACAGAGGCTGAGAGAGGGAAAGGAAGAGATACAGAAGCTTCGAGAGGGAAAGGAAGAGGCACAGACGCTAGGAGAGGGAATGGAAGAGACACAGAAGCTAGGAGAGGGAAAGGAAGAGACGCAGAGGGTAGG